TGCCGGAGGAGAGCACAGGTGAGGCGCCTGACCAGGGACTCTGCAGGTTTTAGTAAGTCAAACTTAAGACTTTTTAAGACCTTTTTAATACCACCTTGAATCAAATTTAAGACCGAAACATATAAATGATGGTTCTGTGATTCTACTGTATCACAACCAACACGTGTGTCACTCAGTAAAACACATTGAATATAAAGATAATCAGTTCTCTGGTTAAATTATCTGTATTTTACAAGTGCAGTTATTTGGTTGGAAACAACCAACATAAAATACATCTACTAAATACATTCATGGCATGAAACTTTGGCCAAAACTTTAACCTGCAGCATCATCTATCCAACAAATGTCTGAAGGAAGAGAGGTTTTAACAACTTTCTGCAGTTTATTTTTATGTAAAATCAGTGTTTTGAATTGAGATACTCTGATAAATTAGAAAAATTATAGCMCATAAAGTTCCTTTATAAAGAATTAATTACCAGTAAGTTCTTTTTAATTTTTTAAATTATTTATTTGTTTATTTTTTGATTTTCATAGATTTCTCCCCTAAAATCAACATTTTCTTCAAAGGGAATATTTACAGGATTATAGCTCATAAATCACTCTGACTGATGATTTGACATCCTTCTAGAAGCAACTTGTGACCTGTTATGTTCAAAGGTTTTCTATTTCTAGTGACAATCATAGTCATACTATTTATTTTTCATATTTGATCATTTATGAATTATATTTATCACAGTTCAGTTAGTAGTATAGTTCTAAAGAAAATAAAAGTTTAGCACATCCAAACAGACAAAACACCTCATTATTGTTAAAACATTTTGTAGAATTAACTTGTTCTTCATGAGTTTGAGGGAAAATTAAATTTAAACTGAGACAAATGTCTTTGCTGTGATCTGGAGTCTACAAATATTCATCTTTTAGCGTTAATAAATGTTTAATAACTAATGCAGCAGCTACAACTTGTCTCACCATGAGAGAAACAGGATGAGCTCCTGCTGTGACGTGCTCTCTCTGTCGGACCCAGAGTTTGGTCAAGTTGTACATGTTTTCGTATCACAGTAACGTAAAATGTTCACGTGTATTTGGCCCGGTGCACTTTCTATAGTAAAATATCGACAACGCTCCGAACACACAAACGTTTAACACAACTGGACTTTAGATACAAAAGGTCGGGGCTCGGTTCCAGGTAGCTCCTCAGCGCGTGCAAGTTGCACGTCTTTAAAATAACTACGACACTCTGAACACAACATTTAACACAAAGTTAGACTTAAGATAAAAAAGACCGGGCGGGTCGGGGCTCGGTTGAGGACGGGCTGAAGTAACGGTGATACAGCTCAGGTGTCTCCTCGGCTGCAGTGACCTGGTCACACATGAACACACGTTTAATACTTAATAATTTATTACAWAACTTCACCTTCATGCGGGGCGGGTGGTTCTGGTAGCGGGTTGAAAAAAAAGTCATTGGAAAAGTCCAAGCCACTCTGTTTACCTCGCCTGCAGTATCCGCTCAGACAGCAAGACCCGCCCTGCTCTGCTCTGATTGGCTAAAACTGTGACTCTGGTTCTTTTATTGGTTGAAAGCAGCGTCAGTTAATCCATCACAACAAGTTAGTTTTTTTTCTTTTCTCAACAGGAAATGCTTAATTTTAGATATGTGAATTTAAGACTTTTTAAGGACCCGCGGACCCCCTGCTGACACCAGGTGGGGCTGACGGACAGGTGAGAGGGGAGGGGGCGGGGCTTTACCTTCCTGGACACCAGCTGCAGAGCGTCCTCCTCAAAGGCCTTCACCTTGTTGAGCCGAGACGTGATGATCTGCTGCAGCTGCTTGAAGGTGTACGGCTGGAAGGACATCCGGGTCAGACCCTGGACCAAACAGAACCAGAGAGAACATCAGAACCAGAGAGGAGAACATCAGAACCATTGAACAGAACTCAAACAGAACATGATCTAAACAGGAAACCATCCTGTTGTCTTCAGACCGAGAACATCTGCTCTCATCTTTCAGGAGGTTCTGGTCCGGTTGTGTGGTCCGGTTGTGTGTTTTGGTCCTCACCAGCCTGCTGGCCACCCTGTTGATCATGATTCTCTCGGGCAGGTCCATGGTGTTGGCGATGGTCAGGACCACCAGGCGGGCGTGGCGCCGCGTGGGCCAGTCGAACAGGTTGTACATGACGTTCTGCTTCCTGGTCCACAGCAGGTCCAGCTGGAACACAGAGGGACCGGTTAGGTTCTGTTTTCCAGCCACACAGCGCTCTGAGCCCCACAGGACCCCGCCTCACCTCGTCCACCAGCAGCACGGTGGTCTCCTTCCTGGGTGCCGGCGTGCTGAAGCGTTTGTCCAGCAGGGCGGCGGCGTGGTCGGCCGTGCCTTTCTGACCCGTCAGTTTCTGCAGACACCAAGGATTCTGTCRGTACCAGCTCCTTCATTTCTAAATCAGATCCAAATGCTGGTTCTGCTGAGGATTTTCACACCCAGAAACCGATAAAAACCGGACCCCTCGCTCACCTGCAGGATCTGAACGTAGGCCTGATGAGGGTCCGTCATCTTCATCCCGTTGATCTCCACGAAGAGGAAGGGCGGGATCTCGTCGGCCTCGGCCGCACGCTGCAGGCAGCGCATCACCTCGTGGACCGTGGCCGTCTTACCTGTCCCCGGCACACCTGAGATGTACATGCACCTGAAGCAGAGGCAGGGGGGTTAGTGGTGGGCGGGGTTAGTGCGCCCCCTGCTGACACGTTTGATGCTCTGCAGGCAGGGGAGCATTTCACTGGATCAATACGAAATATTGTAACAAATTTAGCAGATACAAGATGAAAAGACTGTGTGGACATGATGTTTGTGAAAGAAATAATGAATAATGTTATTGAAACGTTTACATATATCTGTAATCTATCACTGTTAACTGGAATATTTCCTGACAACATGAAAACAGCCAAAGTAAACCTCTCAAGAGTGGTGAGAAACATATGATTACAACTACAGACACATTTCACTGTTACCAGTTTTCTAAAATTTTAGAAAAAATGTTTGTAATCAGATTAGATCAGTTCATTGATAAAATATAAGTAAAAATCAATATGGTAGGCAGCACGGTGGCTCAGTTGGTAGAGCTGATGCCACTCAGCAAGAAGGTCACCGGTTCAAATCCCGGCCCGGGAACCTTTCTGGGTGGAGTTTGCATGTTCTCTCTGTGCATGTGTGGGTTTTCTCCGGGTACTCTGGCTTCCTCCCACAGACCAAAAACATGACTGTTAGGTGTGAGTGATTGTGAATGGTTGTGTGTCTCTGTGATGGACTGAGACCTGTCCAGGGTGTACCCCACCCCTCACACTGTGACTGCTGGATGTGGGCATCAGTGATCCACGGCGACCCTGAAACAGGGCTCTAAAGTGCGACAATTTGGCCACAGATGCGACCTGATTTCCTAATAGTGCGAATTTAAAAAATGTCCGGTCTCACTGGTGCGACCAGTCGTTCAAGGGCGAGGGGTCTCACTGGTGCGACCAGTCGTTCGAGGGCGAGGGGTCTCACTGGTGCGACCAGTCGTTCGAGGGCGAGGGGTCTCACTGGTGCGACCAGTCGTTCGAGGGCGAGGGGTCTCACTGGTGCGACCAGTCGTTCGAGGGCGAGGGGTCTCACTGGTGCGACCAGTCGTTCGAGGGCGAGGGGTCTCACTGGTGCGACCAGTCGTTCGAGGGCGAGGGGTCTCACTGGTGCGACCAGTCGTTCGAGGGCGAGGGGTCTCACTGGTGCGACCAGTCGTTCGAGGGCGAGGGGTCTCACTGGTGCGACCAGTCGTTCGAGGGCGAGGGGTCT